CGGGGGCAGCCCGGGGACAGCCTGGGGGACAGCCTGGGGACAGCCCAGGGGACAGCCCGGGGGACAGCCTAGGGGACAGCCCCTGCCCTCCCCACTGGTGCGGTCCTACAGGCAACAGCTCCCAGCACGAGAGGTGACACCTGAGCGGATGAGGCTTTCTGCAGAGCAAAGACCCAGAGCACGACACAGGAGTCCCATCGGTGTGGTACGGGCGTCATTCTCATGCTGAATGCAGCCACAGCACTGCCGGCTGCCGGGAGGGACAGTGATGTCCAAAGGCAGGGCACCCTGCGGTGTCCCCTCCCGCGCGGGGCTGCAGGGCCGCGGCAGGAGGAGCGAAGCCTGGAAGCGCCTCTCGTCTGGCGCGTCGGGTGGGTGCTGCTGCCGGTGAGAAGGGACAGGCTGGATCTTGAGTCTTTGCTTGCATAAGCACAAAACGCACTTGTGTTCCCGAATGTGTTTGCAATTCCTTTCTCTGTGGTAATAAAATGGCAGCATCTTTTTTCTCTGTCTGTTTGTTGTATCTTACTTTTAAAAAAATTCTCTCCCACATATTAATTTGTCTTACCCTTTTATCTTCCCACATGTTACCAGCTGGTTCTTCCTGTTTGCCTTTTTAAAAAATCCATTTAGAGGTTCTTTATTTAGCATTTTCTCTGGGAATTGTTTTCCTCCACCAGAAGGGTGTGTCAAGTCCAGCAGAGCCTTGCTTTCAAAATTACTACTTCAGCGTTATTTGGGAAAACTTGTTGTTCTTGATTTTATTCATAATAACTCAGAGGTGATTTATGTTATATTAGCATACACCTACTTTAATGAAAACCCAGTTTTCAGTCCGAGGTCTCTGTCAGTAGGAGCTCGTCAGTCAGACTGCCGTGACCCTCCTTCCCTGCACTCTTCCCAGCCCCCCTGAACATTTTCCTCATCACCTTCTACTTCATGTCTTAGCTGGCGCTTTCTCTGGTAGCGAATGTCCCTTTCCACAGCATCAGCTGGTCCCTTCCCTCCATCCTCCTGCAGCGCCTGAGCTCAGCAGGAGCAGCACGGCAGGTGGGAACGTTGCTTATTTTTCTTTTTCCCTTGTAACGATTGCTTTGTGGATATACTTCAAAGGTGGATTTCTAAGCAAAGGTTCATGAGGAATGTTACTATCTGCCTAGCAATTTTTTTAAACACTCGTATATTAATTTACTTGTAGGAATTATTTCTCAGGTTCAAGGCTGTGTCAGTAGTAGCAAAGTTTTATTAGGGACAAGCTTTGGTGGCTGTTGGACAGCCAACTGCAGAACAGATTAGCCCAAGCGAAGACGAGTGATGGGATCGAAGCGGCAGCGGCGGACGAAGGCAGCGGCAGCGCAGGCGGCGGGGAGCCAGCCGCTCTGCAGAGCCCCTCCCGCGGGTGCTGTAAGCAGAACTGAGAACTGGCCGGTGATTTTCGCCGTGCTTTTTCCAAACGGTTTGTTCTTGGCGAGGCCTCCTCCCGGGCTGGGCCGTGGGGCTGGCAGGGAAGCTCTCTTGTCTGCAGCGACCTGCCGGGGAGAGCAGGGGGCGTTGCTTTGTCACGGGGTGCAGCTGCCCCCTGTGCCTTTCTCTTACACTCCCCTTGCTCTTGTACTGACCTTTCTTCTCCCTCTTCTCCCTTGCTTGCTCAATTCTTTATATTTCTGGAAAGACTCATGACTGATTCCCCCTGCCAGTTCCTCATTCTCATGTTGTGATCAAACTCTTAGTTAAACACATTTACTATTAGTAAACCCTCAGTGTCAAATACATTTTCTGTGCCTAAGTTTAGGAACGTCCCGTCGCTGCATCCCTCCCCACTGCTTCCTACCACAGCCCTGCTACTCCCCACAGTCACAACCGCAACCCTGCGTGTCTGACACCCAGCACTGGGAGAAAGAAACTACCTCCAGCCCTTCTTCACCACCCAGGAGAGCCTGGAGAGCTCTCATCCTCCTCTTCCCCAGGTCCACAGCAGGACTAAGGAGGCAACTCGCGATCGCTCAGGAGGACGCCTCACCTTACGGATCCTCCCGCAGGGCACACGGGCTCAGGGCAGGCAGGGCTGGCACAGGCTGGCTTTGAGCCCACCACTCCTTCCCGCCGACGCCGTGGGGACTCCTCTTCCCACCGGCCCTCTGCGGAGACGAGACACCTCTGGTGACCACAGCCCCACCCCGGAGATCTGCAGCACTGGCTCTGCCTGGGTGCCCTCCGTGGCTGCTGGCCGTTTCCCCTTGAGCTGTGAGGGTCACTGAGAGCAGCATCAGCACATCCTGCCCCCTGCCTGGCCGCTGACAGCTGTCGCTTTTCCATCCTGACACACTCCTGGTGACACGAGGCGCCGAGACAAGCTCTGGCAGTGTCATTTCTTCCTTTGCAACTGGCAGTCCTGAACAAGAACTGCTTTTTCATGTAACTAATTCAGGACTGGAGAGTCCAGGAGAGCCCACCTCAGGGCACCGCCACTAAAATAGCCCTTTTTCCAAACTAGTGGAGCAGGAGGGTGCTCGGGCTGGTTATGTGTGAATGCAGCCATTGATGAGATTAACAACATGCCTCCCTGTTTCAAAATTTCAGGCAATGGGAGGCAGGGAAGAGCCAAGTGCTTTGCATACAAATTAAATTCCCCAAAACTTTAATTAAAATTGTTGTGCGAAACTCAGAATGTTTAGATCGTTTCAGCTCGTTTAACTGCCAGTCCCTAATCCTGTCTAGCTGTGTCAAAGCCAATAAAACTCAGTTAAATGACAGTGTTGGTAAGAGCCCTTGCCCAGCTCAGAGCAAAACCCGCCCTCGGTGGAGCTGCTGCGCCTTGCCCCAGGGGCCAGGAGAGCGCGGGGGCCTCGCCGGCCCCCTCACCAGCCCGGGACAGGAGGCTTGCACACTGGGCATTGGTCAGAGCCGAAGCCTCAAACGCCTCGTGGTTTGCTCCCGAGCCCTGGCTGGTAACAGGTCGGTACTGGTTCCTCACCACAGCGTTGCTTTTACCGTCTGGGTCATGGATTTTCATATCCCTGTAAGCCAAAGCTTAGAGATGTTACTGTGCCCGGGTGTGCCCGTCGCCTGCGTACATGATGTCCTGCTGCCCCCCCTCCAGCAGGCAGTGGTAGGTCTGAATCTCCTGCTCCAGGCGGCATTTGACGTCCAGGAGGGTCTTGTACTCCTGGTTCTGGCACTCCATCTCCGCTCGGATCTCAGCCAGCCGCTGCTCCACGCAGGAGATCTGGCTCTGGAGCTCGGCCAGGTACTTGTTGTAGCGACATTCGGTTTCCGCCAAAGAGGACTCCAGGTTCTCTTTCTGAGAATGGAAACAGCACAAAGGTACCTGGATGTGCCACCAGCCTGGCCCGCGTGGGGACAGGTGCGACTCTGGGCGCGAGCACTCTGAAGGGAGCTGGGGAGTCGGAGATGTGGGTCGTAGCGGCATCACCTACCATGGTGAGCTGGGCTTGTACATTGATTTCCAGGGCCTGCAGCTGACGTCTCAGCTCAGTGACCTGTTTGTTACTTGACTCGATCTCCTGGCTGCTTGTGACAACCTCCAGATTCACCTCCTCCACCTGCAACGTTAGAAAAGAGCAGCCCTTTCCTCACCTCCCCGCAGCACCTCGTCGTGGCAGGGGCTTCCCCCCACTGCTTGTGCGTGTCCGGAGTGTCACCAGCCCTCAACCCCCCCGCTCATCCCGTGGTGACCCTGTAACGCTGTGCAGCGGCTCCTCCACCACGGGCAGAGCACTGAAATTGGGCAGTACACAACTGCTGATATTAAGACATCTCCAGGACGTGCTCTTCTCCTCTCATTTTTCCCTTTTCCGCCGGCAGGCAGAGCAGGGTCAGTGCTGTGTGTGGGCAGTACCTTGCAGGCGTACCACTGCTCGGTCTCTTTGCGGTTGCGCTCCATCAGCGTTTCGTACTGACACCTCAGGTCCTCCAGGATCTTCCTCAGGTCTGGGCCAGGGCAGGCGTTGACCTCCACGCTCACATCTCCAGTCGCCTGTTTCCTCAGGCAGCTCATTTCCTGCAGGGAACACAGGCACCACGTCAGCAATATTGACACTTGGGGGACTTCTTAATTCTCTGAAGCTAAGGGCAATCTGACCTCCTCGTGGTTCGTCTTGAGACAGCACATCTCTTCGGTCAGTGCCTCGCACTGCAGCTGCAGGTCAGTCTTGCAGCTGGCCAGCTGGTCCAGGACGGGCCGCAAGTTGCAAATGTCTGCATCCACGTTCTGCCGCAGACCGCATTCGGTCTCATACCTTAAGCCACAGGCAACAGAGCAAGGTCAGCACGTCCATGAACCATGGCAAGCCCTCGAGTTGAGTTTGTGGGGAGAAAATTTAGGATCAAGTTCTTCTTTTGCTTCAGAGGCGCAGTGCTCTGAACGCTGTCACCCATGCCCATGCCTTTCACAGGGATCTGCACTTCCATACGGCTGCGTGGCAAGCAGAGGGTAGGGATGTCCCTGTAGCTATCACCACCCGCCCTTCCCCGGGCAGTGTGAGCCCCTCAGTCCGGCACAGGACAGTACTCACTTCACTCTGAAGTCATCAGCAGTCATCCTGTTGTTATCAATATTCAAAAGGATTTTGTTAGTCTCCATGGCTGCACACAGGATCTGGAAAAGAAAACGCAGGAGGGAGATTCGGGCTTGCAGTTTTCTCTGGCTACGGAAGGCGCTGGAGGAAACACCCACCTTGGCTAACACCGCCCACTTATTTTATAGCGATTCTGAATATTGGGGTTCTGAATCAGTTAGACGGCGTTAGAGCTGGGGAAACCCGCGCTCCAGGCTGGAGGAACAGGCTGTGCTGAAACCTTGCACCTGCACCTGCAGGGACGCAGCCGTTGCCTCTGCCATTTGACCTTGGCCCGTCCACACATGGAAGCAAAGCCCAAAGAAGCATTAGGGTTTTCTTGAGAAAACAGTGGTTTACCTGGTTTTGAAGGTCTTCGATTTCCTTATGAAAACAGCTGTAGTCCCGTGGCTCGCAGCTGGGCCCTACCTTGGCGTACCACTCCCTGATCTTGCACTCGACCCCCCCCACCAGCCGCACCTTGTCCAGGTAGGAGGCCAAGCGGTCGTTGAGGTTCTGCATCGTCGCCTTCTCGTTGTTAGCAAACAAGATCCCATCACTGCAACCAGCACCGACTCTGGTAAAGCCACCACTGACACCGCGAGCGCAGATGCCTCCACCGCCGAATCCGAGGGTAGAACAAGCCCTCTGGGCAGCTCCAAAGCTGCCGCCGGTAGCACTGCCGGCGCTCAGCTGCTTCCCAAGCAATCCCTCGCTTAAACTGCCACCAGAAAAACTGCCAGCCACGCCACCCAGATCGTAGGCAGCGTGTCTCCCCGAGGAGGCGGAGGAGACCTTTCTTGCGCTGCCAGCCGCGGAGCTGCCGGCGCTGCCCCTGCCCTGGGAGCAGGCAGTGACGACCTGCCTGACGGCACAGCTCATGGTGCGAGCGCGACCAGCCAGCCGGAGCCCAAGGCGACTGCAGGGATCGCTGCGGGATCCGATTGTGATCTCTCTGTCCCCATGCTCCTCTATTTATACCGTTCCTCGCGGATGTTGCCACGGAACACGGGTTGTTTATTCTTCCTCCTTGTGACCTGGCTAGCACTACTTTCTTTGGTTCAGCCGGAAGTATTTCCCCAAAGGCGTTTGTCTCCAGCAATCCCACAACAGAAAGATGCTTTGGTTAACAGAAGCGTGTTTCAAAACTACATCAAAAATGGTACTTCCTGAATCATCAGGTCTGACTTGTGATGACAACTAAACACCAGTGACACGAAAACCCACGATACCCGAGAGTGCCCGGGGAGCGAAACATCAGAGCAATTACCCATCCCTGACTGGGCGAGTCTGCCCGGAAAGTGAAAGCTGTGGGAAAGCCACAGCCTGCCCCGACCCCGTCGTGTCCAGAAGTGAGGGAGCCCCTCACTCCGCTGCCCTGGGACCAGAGCCCAGAGCCCGCCTAGCGCGGCCATCGCTGGAGAGAGAACACACCGAGGGCCGGGGTGCTGGGCCTCGAAATGCTCTTCTCCTGGAGAGCACAGGAAAACATCGCGCTGGAGCCTGCCAGTGATGAGCTGTTGCTTCTCTGTGTGCATCAGAAAACCTCCTTCATAGAGCAAAATATTCAAATATTTATCCAAAATAAAAGAGAAAAGGTTGTTTCCTGACTACCAAATGCTGCAGTTAGCCATGAATATTCACTGCCGAGAGAGGACACCTCCGTAAGATGTTTGCTAAGATTTCTAAAACACTAACATGGAGAATTTCAGAAGCCACCTGATCCTGAATAGGTCTGACCCAGTTCCAACCAGCACCGTGGAAATTCTCCACACAGGATCTAGGGGAAGTGTGCTAAATTAAGAAAAGACACTAGAAAAGATCATTTAAAGAAAGACATTAAACCTATTTTTCAGTCTTGGCACGCTGAACTGAGAAAGAACAGGAAATAATTAAAATGTTTTGCCATCCGAATCTTTCATTTTATTAATAATATTAGCAGAGCCACGCTAATGCTGGGCGCCTTCCACCCGGTGCTGCCCAGCTCTGGGTTTGCCGCCCGGGTCAGCTGGGCTCCTCGCTCAAAGGCTGCGTCGGGCGCAGCCGGTTTCAGCCACATTGCTCACGCCGTGCGGGCAAGCTCATTAGTCCTGATTTTATCTGGGCACTGCCAGCCCAGGACGCCTTAAATGTGGTGTGGGTTCTGTGCGCGTCCGTCATTAGCGAGCGCGGGCTGTGCCGCGGGGCCGTGGGACGC